GTTCAGAGATTATTATTATTATAATAAAACGTACATAGAAAAAGGAAACTTTTTTTTTTAACTCAAACTTCAACGAGGCAGTAAACTAATGGTTGATTTAAACAACATTTAATGAATGTGCATTTGATAACAGATAAAAGTTTATGGCTCAGGCTGTGAACAAGCCAACGCTGTTTCGGCTATTTCTGACCAAAGGTCATGTGAGAGCATGATCTTTGGTTGTTATTTTGTAAAATATTAAGAAGTAGCTCATAACCAAACTAATGCAGTTAAGATGTACAAACAAATAAATGGAAGTAAAGAGAACACATTGGGCTGAGATCCCCTAACGTTTCTCAGCAGGATTATACCACAGTACTGTATAAATGGTAGCCTACAGTATCTATTCAGAGTTAGATGTCCTTATCTCTTTCAACTTTTAAAGTTGTATATCTTTTTACAAGCTGACAGACACCAGCCATGGTATGAAGTGCGTCATAAAATGCAGAGACCTGAAGAAAGTTGGACATTAGGTGTCGGTGCGGTGTGGACAGACGCTGTAGTTGAGTCATTAAACAACAAAGGCACATCTGTGAGGCAGGTTGTGCTTTAATGAGAGGCACTCCGAGTACATGGTGTGTAGGGAGTAGGAAAAACAGTACCAGGTGAGAGACACAGATCTGAGCTATTAGTGGCAGCAGGTTGAACAACCAGATCCTAATCAAACAAGGCTACGCTCCTCAACTGCTTCATCAAGCTTGGCGTGTTTTTGTAATTGAGGAAACATCAACAGGTGGTGTTTCCTTTTTCTGCATCAAAGAGGAATGGCAGATTGTGGTAGTCTGTAGCAACAGCATAGTATTTTGGTTAACTAATTAAAGAATTATTATAACTCTTAAGGTATTATATTATACTACATAACCTAAAGAGTGTACACCTAGGCTCACCAACACTGAGGCTGCTCTGTGGTTTAAAAGCCAAACGTCCTGAAACTGACGGCATGTTTGTTTGTGGAAGTCAGATTCAGAATGGATTTCACGCTGCTGTGCTAATTTATGGTTGAAGAAAAGCAGGAAGCTAAGCTAAATGACTTTCCAAATTTAGAGTGCTGTGAAACAGAAAATTGCAGGCAAAGTAAGTAAACAGCATCAGTAGAGTAAACATCCCCCATTTATGCTATCCTGTCCACAGTCTCCACCGAAGGTAGCCTTTATGAAAACAGAATTAACAGCCGCTTTAACACTTCAGTGGGAAAGCCAACAAGCCCTAGCGGGAGCAACGATTGTTAAACTTCCTCGTCAATTCATTTGTGGCCTTTTCACTGCCAGTCTAGAGGCTCCGGTTATGCTGCTGAGGCGAGTTGGAAACATCAGAGGGGTAGTAAAAGCTGAATTTTATTGGGGCCATTGCTCTCACGCCATACAGCGGTGACTGGAAGTATTTAGACCTCAGCGTGTTTAATTAATTGAGCAAAGAGCGAGCATCTGAGGATATCTCTGGTGGAGCTGAGACCCAGGGTCTGAAAAAACAAACAAACCACAAGGTACGGCCTAGTCCTCCTCAGACATGGGAGCCCAGCTACTTAGTGTCATTACACTGGGTTTCATTTTCTCCAAGACTGTCCTTAAACACTTGGAGTTTTTTAAGTTACTAGTCTTATATTACCATGTATGTCATCAAAACCTGGTTCTCAGCTCCATTAGTGGGACACGTATGCCAAAAAAATGTGTGGATTTATTTTGTGTGGAACGCCTGGAGAAAGGAGCTGCCAAAAGTTATTACAGGGAGTAAATGTGTAGACCAGAAGGACCAGGAGGACCAGGAGGTTTTAGCCCTGGTCTAACTAAGTCCTGAACTATAATGGCTATGATGTTTCTCTGATAGCTCATCAGAAAGCAGCCTGAAAAGTTTATAAAGATTATAGAGAACATAAAAGATAAGAAACAAGAATGGTGCCGCCAAAAGGAATTTTCTGAAAGTATCACTGGTCGCCAAAATGTATGGTCACACGTATTTCTTCTGAGATTTTACATAAATCTACATTGTCTACAGACCACCAATCAGAATCTCACAATTAATGATGAATTCATCTTTTAATGAGCGACCAGTGTTACTGCTTCCAAAAGTAGAAACGTTTTTTTAACTGAAAAGGAAATTGAAGAATTCATCCATCCATCCATCCATCCATCCATCCATTTTCATCCGCTTATCCGTTACTGGATTGCGGGGGCAGCAGTCTCCATGACCGCCACCCAAATCACACTGCACCGTACCAGCTCCCTGAACCTTCCTGCGGGTGGTGAGTCCACTGGAAGGTACCAACCGCCCTAACCGGGATTGGAACTTGCCCAGGAGGTGAACCCTGGGGTTCCACACCAATGACACAGACATTGCCTCTGGGCCAAAGCGCCACGAAATAAGACCAATTTAAATATTAATAAATGGAGTACTGGGCATTATTGCAATTTTTTCATTGTCATCATCGTCAAGATCATTATGTACATTAACATTATTCCACATCAGGACCAGTGGAATTCAGGAAGCAACCAGTTCTACGCTGTATGTGCATTCAGAGCCAGTGAGCAACAGAAAAAAAGGTGTTATTACCTAGTTAACATGCCCAGCACGCATTTAAACACCAGCAGCACTAATTTGACATTTTCTAAACCCATATTCATCATTGTTTGGGTTTGCAGAAAAAAAATTAACTTCAGAAAGAGAACTTTGCTGCCCTACATCCAGAACTATGCTCATTGAGCAATAAAAATGTGATCAAGGTCGATTCTCAGCCCAGACAGGGTGCTGACACGCTGTGGTGTAGATCTTCAGCTCCCCCTCACTCTCCTGCCTTGGCTCTCGACAGCAACGGCCTCAGACCTTTCAAATTGAATTTAGCCTTGATCTAAATTTATAGGGTCAGTAAATTTACATTTCCTCGTGTGAGAATTCCGAGGTTAAAATTTTATATGCTGTGTTAAAAGTAAGAGTGCGGCCCAGTCAAGTGAGTTTAAATGAGTCACCTCCACCTTTACACCCACCTCCTACCGTTGTTTTTCATAATGAGCTTCCATCTGTGATGTTTATTTCATGGACCCGGTGAAACATGAGAGAGTTTAGGAAATTACTTCAACTACTTCATCAAAACCTGGAACAATGTGAAATTGATGAAACTACTTCATCAAAACCTGGAACAATGGGTAAGAAGGACATTCCGGAAGGGCTGCACATTGTTTCTTTTAGTTTCTCTATTAGAAAAACAAACTAAAACCAACTGTTTTTCAACAGCAGCAGCAGCAGCAGCAATGTCCTCACTGTTTGTAGCCTATGAATAATGTGGGGTCAGAGATACAGGAGCTGGAAGATGTGAGTCAGTCACTCTCTGTATATTGTAATTTAAAACTACTGCACCACTACCTTTCAAAGCATATTTAGCTTTGAGCTATTATTTTGAGTCCTAAGTAAAAAAGAGATTTCTAACTTTGGATATCTGTCTTGTCATGTTTGGAACAAAAACAAAATCGAAATGTTTGGTGTGAACATAGTATTCGATATTCAGCGCAGAAATAACAGTTTGATAAAGAAAAGATGTTGAAAGAGGACTTTTCACGTTTTGTATTTGTATGCTTTTTAATAAAGGATAAGTCAAAGTACTAGTTGGAAGAATAACACACAAATGAAACAGGCGCCTTGACATGTGTCAATATATCTCGACAAATGTTTTTGAGAATCTATTTTTCCAAAATAAAAGTTGTCCTTTCTGTCTGGCTGGAACGGTCCATTGCCTGGCCATCCTCAGGCTAGGGTAAGTTGTGTCTGTCGCCATCTAGTGGTATTAATTTAAAATGCAGTTGATGCATTGCAATAAAGACAATTCAAATCCGCTTTTCAATTTTGTCTGACCACAACTGTAACTTGCTGATAAAAAAAACAACAACAACAACAATCAAATAACAAACAAACCCACTAACAATGATGATTCACCTTAAACTGACTGGCTCTGGTCGTTAAATAACCTGTAACCTGGAGAGACTGTGCTGAGGCTAAAGTCATATTATTGGATAGGTGTCATACAAATAACAACAGTTATTGATAGTAACTGTTGGTAGAATATTGGTAGAAAAGGTTTAGCTTTGGTGGTAAATGTTCTTTTTGGTGTTCAAAGTGGCAGACCCCTGCTCTGGTGCTTTAGGATGTGTCCTGAAATGAATTATTGAAATCGAATATAGTCATGAAAAAAAAAAAAAAACTTTTATGATGGACTGCATACCATTTTCTTTATGATACATAAAACATCTAAGACTTTTTGGCAGAAAGATCAAAAGCGGGGCAAATATCATGTCAGTCATATAAACTCTGACATATTGATTTGTAGTTTGAGGGCAGGAGGAATAACCCGGCTTCATCATTCACCATTTTGTTGTCTTTGATCTAAGGGTAAAAATAGTCAAATTCAGTTGGGTGCCAAACTCTGAAAAAGGAAAAACAGTCCAACAATGAAGAATGAAACTCTAGAATTTATAATTTATTATTATTTGTATGAGCTTGGGGGTCTTCTTTGTGCATTATAAAAGGTGGAGGGAGACACTGTATAGTGGTCTCTGGAGTGAGAAAAAAAGGTAAAATAAAAAAAAACATTTCATTAAGCAGTTCATTGATTTCTTAAATTCCTTAATTAACTTTTTTCAACTATAAATACTTGTACAAGACCAAAAATGGGTTAGACACATTTAAGAAATTGGCTTCAATTAAAAAATAATAATAATTAAAAAGACAAGTAATATAAATGAAATTTATAGGCTTGCATACTCATTTTTTTAAAACAGTCAACTGACAAAAATAATTGGATAGCATTAAATTGTAGATCTATGCTCTAAATTCACCTTTAAAAAATGAAAACTCTCTTATACTGCTCGGAGTCGGGCATTTCTGTTCGAAACGTATTGTTCTAATAATTAGACGGTTGTTGTTGTTGTTGTTGTTGTTGACTTCTCTTCAACCCAGAGCTTTGTCATTTCACTGACAGAGAAATGTGGAAGGTACCGTTATTTATTATTTCCGCAGCGACTTTATGGCGACATCTATCGAAATATTACTGATGCTGCAGTCCAGGTACATGAGCAACGTCAGCATTGTGCTACGCGAAAGATGGAGAGGGGGCGGAGGTTCGACCATGATGCTCTGTTAAAGGTATTATCCTTCAACATAAGAGTGGACTGTTGTTGTAGAAACTGACGGCCAGTAATTGACAAACTTTAATTCGCAATAACGAAGTGACATTTCATTTGCCATAACATAGTTAATGTGTTTGGACATAAAGGCGACTATAGGATCCGGGTAGAAAACTGTCTAAAATGTCTAAAGCCTTTATTTTGAAATAAAGCTGAAAAGAAAATCTGGATGCAGGGTTTTTATGGTTGAACTACATGGAAGCAGACTGGACGTGAGAGAATAAATGATAATGAATGCCGCAAGAGGAGACGACTGAAGACGGCGCATCTGTTGATGATATAAACTTCACTATTTGTGCAAAATAAAAGCGTGTTTTTCCCTGCAGACTTGACTCCCGTGTCGGCTGTCGGCGCTGTTATAGCGGTGAGTGAGAAAGCTAGCTGTCACTTCACAGCCACATCAGCACCTATTTTCAGCCAGCATCAGCACACATATAAGCAGCGTATATTCGCGTGTGCGTGTGTGTGGAATCTTCTGTAATCTAAAACTGCAGACATGATTCCATGTTGATGTTTCAGTGTCTTGCAGAGATCTCATTATGGCTGAGAGTATCTTAAGCAAGGCTGCCACCATGGAGATCCCTATTAACAGCAATGGAGACACTGGGACTCTGGCAGAGGATGACAGTCTGGAGCAGGTCAGCATTCACACAGTCTCACACGTCTCTCTCAGTCATTTCAAAGTCCTGGTTCTGGGTATGACCTACAGTAGACGGGGGCTGCTTTAAGGTCGGCCAGCTGTCACCTACATGGGCCTGTCATCATGCATAGGCCTACAGCAGGAGCTGGGGATGCAATGAATATAATACAAATAAAAGACTTTGTATTTTCTGTTTTTGTTTTTGTTTTGCATTTGTTTTAAATGCACAGTTTAAAAAACACCTCATCAATGACACACAGTTACACAGTTTAAAAAACACCTCATCAATGAAAATTGCATTATTTTACCTGCCATATGTAATCATTCCACGAAACCTTAAAATATAACAGACCAGTCCAACATGTTTGCCCGCTTATCCAAACTTCAGCAGTGGCCCAGAAATGGCCATTTTGTAGCCTGTAATTTGGTGCAGATTTTCAATTGTAATTTGCTACATTTGATATGTATGGACTTTGAAAGTGCTAGCATAATTTCTGTGAAATTCATGTCATGTCCACCCTGGTCTCTCCGAGTGTTAATCTCAGCTGTTAATTTCTACCACCTTCAAACTTTTGGCCTATTAGTCAGAACTACTGTCTTATAAATCTGACCTTTCAACTTGCTAATAATGGCATTTCTTTGCTTTTTTCCATTACCAATGCACCAGGATTTACAGCAGGTGATGGTCTCTGGACCAAACCTAAATGAGACCAGCATTGTCTCCGGAGGTTATGGAGGGCCAGCAGGAGGCATCATTCCAACCAGCAGCATCAAAGGTACATCAGAAAAGTGGACTGCCTTGTTGCACAGATCTAACAAAGTTTTTTTTTTTCAAACAGTACTTTTATTTAAGAGAGCCGCTTCTTTCCAGGTATCTATTGTTTAATCCTAGATATACTACGTCATACAATAGTGTAAATGAGTACAATTATGAATGAACAAAAACAAACAAAAAAAAACAAAAAAGTGGAAATAAAATTGAAGAAAATTCATTGTGATGAGAATTAATTTTACTGTGTAGTACAATGCTACTGCATTTGAGCTACATATAGGTGTAAATTGACTGTTATTACTTTTTTCTGAGAAATCAGATATTTCTGTGCAAAATTATGGTTTTCTTTAAACATTTTATAGCTATTTTTGCCGTTTTTTCTTACTGTAGCCGTTTCTCGAAACAGATTTGGCAAATATTCCATTAATTAATTAAATTAATTAAATTTGACAGTTTTTCTCCTAATACAACATATTTGAACAAAAAATAACTTCTCTGATTTAAAATACGTATGAAAAAAAGCTGGTTGGTTTATAGAAAATCATCTAAAATTGTATATCAGTGTCAGCAAATAAACAAAAACATCTACTTCACTATGGCAAAAATAGAAATGGAAAAAATGCAGCCCCTCGCTACGTCATTTCGTCCAGTCTCATGTGTCAGAGAAAGCAGTAAGTCCTCACATGTTCTACCAAAACTGAAGGTGGCCCCAGTTAACAGGGTTTGTACTTCTGACCTGTATTCTTCCATTACTACTGAACTCACTGGTCCAGCTTCACGTTACAAACCTCCATATCTCATAGGACCTGCCATTCGCTTCAACCCTGAGTATCTGGACAGAAGACGAGAGCCTCCACCAGAACCAGGTGGCTGTGTAATCACCAGCTTAGACTGAAGATTATAAGTTGACATTTCTAAGATCTTTTTTGTCACTTATTCTGTATTGCCTGATCATGGGTGTCCTATGCTCTACTGCTTGTACATCTTCAACTCAGTTGTACCAACAAGGAATACTTCGGCGGCTGTTTGAGTTCCATGTACTGTAACTCAGTGATTCCCAAACACATGCCACGGCACATTAGTGTGGCATGAGGTGTGCCTTGGAAAATTACTCAATTTCACCTTATTGGTCTAAAAACTAATTTATTCACTGGATATAATTTGTCTTTATTCCTAAATGCATCAGTCACAGGCAGAACTATCAAATATTAACTATTAAATACTACTAGAGTGGTTGAAGAAGGTCTTTGTGTGTCTTTTTCTTCAATTCCCGTGAGTGTATCAGCGTTGTGTTCAACTAAGTTGTGTTCAACTTAACAGGCATGAGTTTCTCACCAAGTGAGTCAGTTGTGAGTAAATTACAACAAAAAGTTCAATATAGTTTATTACATGACACATTACATGTGTCGTGGCTCAAAATAAGGGTTGGGAAACACTGCTGTAACTCTCTTCTTTGGAAATGTTTTACTTTGTCCACGTCAAGTATGGTTGTCTCCTTTATGGTTGTCGTCTTGTCATTGCCTGACACTTAGCTTTCATGCCATGAAGTCCATTTTCACCTTTGTTCTGTTCCTCCCTGATATTCTGCATGGTGAAATAACCCCACGCTTTTTCCACCAAACAGTCTAACCTTCATTTTTCAGTTGACATATTCTGCTCCTCAGCTGCATAACCCACTACTTATTTCCTCTGACTCTATTCCAACATCATTCTGTCTCATCCTCACTCTTTGTCATGATCATGTTCATTTCAGACATCCGCATGAAATCCAGAGGTGTAAGTTTGCCTAAAAGCCAGTCTCCTGCCAGTGGATTTGTCCAACACACGATTCAACATTCAGGTATCACCAGGACCATGACCTTCTTGTCCTCTCTCATTTTCATGTTCCACATCATGTTCTGTAATTTCTGCCTATGGAAAAAAAGACATTCTTTTTAAGCTGTATGTGTTTCATTTTTAGGCTCGTCTAATCACAGTCCCAACAGTTCAACAGAAGAAGTTACACGTGGTGTGGCTGTAGAGAAACTGGATAGTGTGAGGAAATGGGGCATCAACACGTACAAGGTATGGCACACTTTTTCAATTCTTTATCATGAAAGGTTTACGTCGTTTCTGGGGATAAAACGATGAACTGTGAATCTGTTAAAAAAAAAAAGTGTGACAATTTGTTGAAATAAAAAAAAATCATAGAGGAATAATTTTTGAGTTCTGACTTAAGTGGAGGACTCAGGTATGTGTTTAATTTATTTACACATTATTTTAATTATCTTGGATTGTCCAGTATACATTACACCAATTTATGCAATTTTATCAAACTATATTTGTATTAATATTTTGAATATTATAATGACAGTATTGTAAATATCAGTTATGTCTTCAAGCTGTTTTTGATCTTGTTTTCAGTGCACCAAACAGATGTTTTCTGAGCGCTTCGGTCGAGGCTCAAGAACAGTGGACCTGGAACTGGAGGCTCAAATCGAGGTGTTGAGAGAAACCAAAAGCAAGTACGAAAGCATCCTGAGTTTGGCCATCGCCCTCATCGATCATTTTCAAAGCATGGTTCAGACGCAACAGGCCTTAGGAGATACTTTCACCGACCTTAGCCAGAAGTCACCAGAGTTGCAGGTACAGTGATGGTGAAAAATATAAACAATAAAAAAACACTGTTGTTGTACAAAACAATCAGTGTTTGTCTTTGCAGGACGAGTTCGGTTATAACGCAGAAACTCAGAAGCTATTGTGTAAGAATGGAGAAGCTCTGCTCGGTGCCATTAACTTCTTCGTGTCAAGTGTCAACACCCTGGTCAACAAAACAATGGAGGATACTTTAATGACTATAAAACATTATGAAAATGCAAGGTAACAATATTTGAAACTTTTCAGATTTTTGAGGAAAAAATAAATAAATACATGGAGATTGATTTCTGTGAAGAGTCGTCTCAGACGGTCTGCCCTGTTCCCACATATAGACTGGAGTTTGATGCCTACCGCTCTGATTTGGAGGAGCTGAGTTTGGGGCCCAGGGATGCTGCCGGCTTGGTTCGCATAGAGATGGCTCAGCAGGAGTACCAGATACACAGAGACAAATATGAAAGACTGCGCAGTGATGTAACCATCAAACTCAAGTTTTTGGAGGAAAACAAGGTTTGTTTTTTTACCCCCTCAGAAATCTGAGCCCAGGCTCACAAAGAAGCACTTTTCTTTGAACTAAATTCAAGGTCCTTTTTTAACTCTTTCTACTTTAAATGTACAATTCAAATGAACTATTATACTTTATTTTACCAAAGTGGTCAAAAGTAGTCAAGTAAAGTATGACTGATCACGTCCATCTCCTGACAGTAATTCTGTTTTGCAGGTGATTCAAACCTACTTATATTGATATGGTAAATATTTGCTCATCTAACTGAATCAGACACTGCAGGGAAAAGTTATTATTATTATACTATTGGTAAAAAAAGTGACACTATTTACATCTATATTGTGCAATTATTTCAACATTAGCATTTTAAATCACATCATTAGCATACATCAAAACAGCATGCATTAACAGTGATATCCAACAAACTCATGTGTTCACTGTACTATGAAAGTTGTATATAAAACTTTAATATACCATATTTTTCAGACCATAAGGCGCACCGCATTATAAGGCACATTAAGCAAAACAATTAAGCGGAACAATCAAGCATGTCCAGATCTCGAACGACATTCTCCGTCAGTGTCGTTGCTGTTAATTAATTGTTAAGTGATGATTCCAGCCTTCGTGAAAGCTCGAACGACATTTGAGACTGATACCTTAGCCCAGGCATCCACGATCCATGGGCGGTTGGAATTCTTTGGTCAATCCACTCGGAATGATGGCAAGCCCCGAATTAGTGTGCTTCACTTGGGTTTTGACAATATCTGTGAGATGGGCGCGCATGGATCAGGGTAGTGGAAAAGGGTAGTGACCTTTTCCACGCAACCAGAAGTAATACATAAGGCACACCAGGTTATAGGGCGCACTATCGATTTTTGAAAAAATTCAAGGCTTTTAAGTGCATCTTATAGTGCGGAAAATACAGTATGTTATCAGATTTTAATACCATAAGAAATGCTAATTCATTTATTTAGTAAATTCATAAGAAATGCTAATTCATTTATTTAGTTGAATAGACCTTGAAAAAAAAAGGTTTCCTCTACTTTCTTAGAGCAGTGATTCCCTAAGAGACGAAAAAAGGAACTAAAATTGCCCCAACCTGCATGAACTTTGCAACCCCCAAGTGGGGCCCGCCCCCTACTTTGGGGACCACTAAAGTTTTATTCAATAGAAATCATCTAGGAAGAGTAATCCTCTCTAATCTCTAATCTGAGACTGTGGTTCTACTCTTGTCTTTTCTTTTGCTTTAGGTCAAGGTGATGCACAAACAGCTGCTTCTTTTCCATAATGCTATCTCAGCTTACTTTGCTGGCAACCAGCAGCAACTGGAACAAACTCTAATACAGTTCAATGTAAAGTTGAAGCCCCCAGGATCACAGAAACCATCCTGGCTGGAAGAGCAGTGAGGAGCCGACAGACTGGAGAGAAGAAGACAGCATCGTAGTTAGATGGACAAACGTGAAGTGGATAAGAAGTATGTGGATGGAACGGTAGCATCCAGGGATAAGGAAAAGCGTGAGAGACCACTTTTTAATATATACGTTACTTATTTTACATATTACTTTTATTGACTTTTGTTTTTTGTCAAATCACTGAATGACCTTTTACTTAGTTACTCTAAAGTTCACGTGGTTCCCAGGTGACGCTAAGGTGAATGATTCAAAGTCATGCATGATGCAACACCAACAACGCATGGGTACAGTTGACAAAGGAGTTACAGCTATTGATTTGATGCTTAGAACCCAAATGTTTTTGCCCATCCCACTGTTTTTTCTTTATGTCGGTGTTTGTAAGCCACCTGCTTGTAGCCTTTGGAATCTGGAGTTAGCGCCACACATGCGTGTTTTTACGGAAAACAGAAAGTATTTAACATTTTTTGCTACCTGTTCACTATTATGATTCTCTTCCACCGCTAGAGGTCACCATATAGACACCATTGTGTATTCCTTTCCCAACCAAGGATCAATTTATTATCAGAAAATATTTTCATGGAGTGGTGGTAAATAACACTAACCTGAGAAGAGTTTAAAATGCATAATAAAATGACAAACCATTACACTGAATGACAGAGCAGAGCAGATTTGACAAGTGAGAATCACTTCATTATCATCAGTAAAAATCTTCTTAAATAGGACAGTTAAATTCATTTTTAAGTTGTTTGATTGATCATTGTGCCTATGTGGACCTTATCCCCTTTATAAAGATGGTGGAATTTCATTCAATGGTGGTCTTTATTATTCATATGTATCACAAACTGATGTCACTGGGAGATAATCTGGTCATTTACAAAAAACATTGAAATTAATAATCAATTAAATGTTGCGTTTTGGCTGACATTAGCAAAGAGTTTAGATCATGAATGTGTAAACTACGTCTTGGGGGCCAGACACGGTCTGTTAGGCTTTTTAAATGGGCCCACCGAACTTGTATTAATGTATTTTATGAGACTTTTGTCACTTTGCCTTAACCCTGTAATTCTCAAGTTACCCCAGGGGTGAGGTGTATTACTCTACTTCCCTGTTTCCCTCTGTCTTTTGTTCGAACTTCCGACACTTTAGTGAAAACAAGTGGGCTAAAGAAAAGAAAAGTGGTCTAATTTTAGATCCCATTTTGCCCGCCAGTCAAAAACTTTGCCCACTCCTGGTGTAGGTGTTCAGTGGAGCTGTACACCTTTTACAGTGATGTGCTGAAACTCTATACTTCTGAGATTTTCTTTTAACTTTTCACCAAATATACCACCTGGATCCATGCTGCATCCATAACAAAGAGGTATTTCTTTGAAAATGTGTGACTGAGACAGTCTCCTCAAAGACTCAGTTAACAAAGAGAGATTTCTTTGAAAATGTGTGCCTGAGACAGTCTCCTCAAAGACTCAGTTGATCAAAGCTGATTTTGCTGGCTGGACCAGCGACATCAGAACTGCTGGCTGTGGTAACATTAGTCTGCAACAAGGTCAAGACACAACGATCTGGTCAACTTAACAACATACACAAAATAACTACAACCATAAGCCAGTGAATATCAGCTGGTGGGTTAAATTTGGCCCACTAAACCGTTTAATCTGGCTGCGATTTTTATTTCATTTTATTTAAGTGTCCGAGCACCAGGGTGGCCTCCAGCAAATATAGTTGTTGCCCCCTGGCCTTAGCTAATTTTTAATTTGTGTTTTGGGGCTCAGCCAGGAACTCAGAGTGCTCATAAACCTTTTATAAGGAGCTCCTAGTGGGCAGCAGTGGTACTGCAGTAGGTATTCAGTGTTTAGGGTGGATGTAACACATGATAGTAATGTTATACATCTTAATAGTCTTGTCATCTGTACAGTACACATCTGTGTTTTAAACAGTGTTTTGACTATTTAGTCCATGGAGCATGATTATATTCAGTACCTAGCTGTCACAGAATGTATCATGTATATCCATTTGTTTTGTTTCGAGTTCACAGTTTGAACTATTTAAAACCAAAACCAATGAAGTATGAATTTGACTGATTTTTCCAGCCGAGCTGCAAGTTAGATTTTCCCCATTGAAAAAGTAACCAGTACCACTTTCAAATTCTGTTGAAACACATTATAATGTCAATTTGCCCTCTCAGAGAACTGCAAAGAAAGTTAAAGAAATGCTTATTTAAGTACACAGTTATTTATACAGTATTATGTTTGTTTTTATTTCTTCTCTCATTACCAGCTTTATCACATTATATCCTTCTACTATATGTGAATTCCACAAATAACTTTGTGAAGCCACTGTAGCAATATGTTAAATAATAACAACCTCTCCTTTGTTCTAAATATTTAAAACATATCCAACCCGTCCTGTTATGTACTCCCTTCTACGGCTGTGTTTACAGTAGAATACATACATATTTGTTCACAATGCTCTTCGTTGACTGGATGTATGGTTTTCTCTGGTTCCTGAAAACTGATTTTGAATTCTGGATTTTCTTGAGCTGACTGTCTCTCATCTTCATCTTCATGAACAGTGAAGTCTATGCTGGGTGTATGGATTAAAACTGTATTGAAACACAGCTCTGTCCACTTTGATATGGGAAGCTTATCCGACTATGTACAGCAAACACACAATGTATGGAATGTGTAATGTATGTATGTGGCAATAAAGTGTGTTATGTTATGCTTTCTATGGTCTCATTTTATACATCATCTTGTAATAATCTATAAATTAAGTGGATTCCATTTGACTTAATTTTAAACAAATAACTATTAGCTGAATTTTACAATAGAACACAATAAAATGAATACAGAGAGGGTAAAATCAAGGTTCCTGACAGGATGTTGGTATCTCCTGGTACATGGTATCTCCATGTTGGTAACATCACAGTGATGTGCCCAGAAAACATGCTACTTGCTGATGAACCCGCATACAGTAAGTATCAGTAAAACCCACTTGACTTTGGTCAAGCGGCTCTGATCCAGACATCTGTCCAGGTTACTTGTCACAGTATTGCACATTTTTGTGCTTTTAATAAAATGTCATTGTTGTCATAGGGTTGCGTGTGTGAATCCCAACATCACCAGCTGTAGTGTGTTGAGTAAACAGCACATCCCTTTCTAGACAATTGTGTGTTTTGAGTAGGACATTACTATCAGCTGCAAAATAATCAAAATGTTTGTCAGTTTATGTCTGCACTCTACACTATAGACAACTTTGTTTACATTCATCAGTTGTGCTATACATTGGGTTGTGCTACAGTCGCTTTCTTTCGCATGCATTGCCTTTTGAGAACTTTTTACACATCGTTACGGCTCCAAGTCAGACGCTTCTGATGTTAATCGAGCTACGTCACAACATAGGAACGGAAGCGACATGTTACGTAGCAACATGTCAGGAAGCAGGTAGCACCCAAATGGAACACAGGGGATACTCTCTTCAGGTGCAAGAAGCTTATTCACAAAGCAAAAATCACAAAACAAGGAAAACAAGGCATGAACAACACACAGGCATCAACAACACACAGGCATCAACAAAACACAGGCATCAACAACACACAGGTATCGACAACACACAGGCATCGACAACACAATCACAAACAACATGGCCACTGGAAGAAGACTGACTGAAGGAGAGAGGTATATATACCCAGGGCACCAGGTGACATCAGTGAGACTAATGACAGACACAGGTGAGGGTGATCACACTAATCAACACAGACTTCACAGAGTTGAAGCTAAAGGTGCAATAGTATGACATTTTACAAGTTATATACAAATATCAGTGTGTATGTGTTAAGTATTCATAGTAGCTTTGTTTCTTCAGTGACTACTGCAAAGAGTCAAAAATGACTCTCTTAGTGTCACTTCAAATTGTTGTAATATAATAATAATAATATAATATTCTACAGTAAAACGTCAAACTCCACAGCAGAAAAAAAAAAAAAAAACTTCATAGAATGAATCAGACACATGTAAAAAATGGTACTGCACCAACATTCTTCAAGAACAGACATTATCCAGTCAGACCCCAAAACAAACAACAAATCAAATAAATAAATATGAATTACGTCTTCATATGTATACATTGTACTTGGTTGTACTTGTGGTCTGCAGAAAACACTTTTTTATTCTTTAAATCAATACGTGATCATCATAAATTACAAAATGTCAAAATGATAGAATTAACTCAAAGAAAAAAAACAGTATCAGAAGTTTCCTCAATCAGACATGTTTTTATTCCTCTCCTGTTACAGACGTTTTTCCAAAGCTTTGCAACAAATATCTATTTATTAAATATTTCTTTAAACCACTAGATAGCAGCATTGTACTTTGTAAAGTGACACCGCGCTACTTTCACCTTAACTTACAAAATGTGTTATGTCACCTGACCCTAGAAAGGTTAAAGTTATTCTTATGTTTCCTCGGTTTTGAGTGAGTTTTGAACCCCAAAATCGGCAATATATATTTTAATTCCGAATAATTTAATTTATAATTCAATAATTTAATCTGTACAAACCACTGTATAAGTTCCTGGCAGCATTCTGCATACAAGCCCCTGATTATCAAAATAAATTAAAAATAAAAAAAGGCTACAATACTGCCATCTAGTGACCGGAGTTTGGTTTACCGTTCATAATGTTCTGTTCATGTGTTATGACTGGGTAAAAAGTTACGGATTGTGTTTCAATAAAAGTTCTTCAGAGCACTGAAACATCTGACTGGTCTGTTGCCGAAACATTAAACTATTTTTAGGTCACACATCATTTTGGGAAACCCAGGCATCGCGTTATCGGGTTTCATTATCGGAGGAAAAAACGATAACGAACTTACAGATTATTATGTTAATGAGATTTTATATAAACCTCAATTTGATCCAAGAGGTCCTGCATGAAATAATGTCTGTCGTATAAAGGCTCTTTTATTAGATTAGGTTAGTGTTGAGATTGAGAATGAGATTGTCAGGGTCACATCATGGGCCATTGTTTTCGTATATAGTTTTGCCTTGTTTTCTGGGTGGGTTGGTTTGTGTGTATTTATGCGTATGTGTGTGTGTCTGGACGGAGGCTAAGGACTGATTGTATAAAGAAAAAAAAGAATCCTAAAGGTTTGGATGAAAAGCAAAATCATAAACTATATACAAATAAACAGATTCAAATTTCTGTATTTTAAACAGAAACATTTATTCATGGACTATAAATACTTCCATCAACCTTACTTTCTTCACCCTTGTCCAGAACTGAAATAACTGTGTAATAACAATATTATCAATGTAACAACCGTTAAAAAACTTTCAAATTTAAAAAAAGGTTATGTGACAGTTTAAAGGTTTTTATTATGCATGTGTTTTACCTTTGTTTTATGAAAATTATTATTTCTGTAGATGAAAATTCCCATCATCTAACAAGATTTAAAAAATGTCTTTTAATCAGACTGTAGTAATTAAATAAACTTAAATTGACTTTTTAAGTAACTTGTAGCTACGTCACATCTTTATTCCAGTGTGGTTTTATTGGCTGTTATAAAAACCCACACCAACATCCAGTAGGAGGGAGGGGGAGTCAGACATGGATGGTTATGTGAATTCTTCTAGCACATTCATTATGGGACTTAGTCTGCAGTCGTAACTTTCCCTAAAGTAGCAATTGAGATCATGTTTATTGCATTCTTCTGTTGAATGGAATGATAAAGAGCTCTTTTCTGACAAGTGTGTAGATTGCTGCGTGTGATGATGTGGTGTTTCCTGTGGCTCCTCTCACTGGGGCCCCCCGTAGCTCCAGCCCTGGGGATGAACAGGGTGGCAGCACGGGTTTGTTATCGCTGGCAAGCGTCGAACTTCAGTGGTTTGTTCCAGGATGGAGATGTCATTATTGGTGGACTCTTCAGTCTTTATTCCAAACCTCCATCTCTGAATCAAGACTTCACTCAGCAACCGCTTTACCAGTCCTGCAGCAGGTACAGAATCTGCCGATGAACTGTTGACAGTCATAAAACCTAAACCTAAAGCTCCTTTACCTTTACCTAAACTTTAGCTCCTCACACTTGTATGAAAATGCTTTACAAAGCAGATACAAAGCAGATACAAAGCCTCATGGTTTAGAATTGAAAACACATCATCATTGTCAAATTCATGTGAAGGTATTTAAAATGTATCTGATTGAATGTACATGATTTAATATTTGTATTGTTGGAAAAAAAATGCATATTTTTCTTTTTCCTGTTGGTAATGTTGAAATTGCTATTTGGCATTAACATGGCGACGTCTCCTGTCTTTAGCCTGGAAGCTCTTCCTCTACAGTACGTCTATGCCATGCTGTTTGCTCTGGAGGAAATTAACCACAGTACCACCCTGCTGCCTGGTGTGAGGCTGGGCTTTCACCTGCACGACAGCTGTGCTCTGCCTCTCTGGGCTCTGCATGCAGTGTTGTCTCTGGTGGGAGGCAACAGCAGCACATGTAACCCAGAATATTCTTATGAAGATGGAGAAGAAAACAGTAAATGTCTCAACACACGTGCACCTTGTATCACACCAAAAACGATTAACTTTTTTAAACCAAGTTAAGTAAGGCTGATCAGGTCATATGTTTTTAGAAAACAGACCAAAAATCATAGCCAATAATAAAAGTGTAAACAGCATTTATAACAACATACACCTGTGCACATGGCTGTGTTTTAACCATTTTATCATGTTTTTAAATGTATTTCTGCAGTTTTGTATGTTTTTTTTTCATGGTGTCCTCAGGCCTTCGGTCTGTTCCTGTGATCATTGGTGGCGATTCATCAGTCACAGCGCAGATTCTCTCCAGACTCCTGGGGCCACTCTCTGTTCCTCTGGTGAGTTTGTGAAGAACTCACATGTCAAAAGTCTGTTTCTGATCTTATGCTGTAAAACTAAAAAACAACAACAACCAAACCCCCCCCCCCAAAAAAAAAAACATAGAACCAGGGATCTTTAAAACAAGAATGCCCTGAGCTGAAATACTCTGTGAATAACAGTATCATATACATGATGTGGAAAGTACAAAGGTTTATTCTATTAAGAATTCTATTTTTGCAATCACATGTAAAAGATTTCAATCCACAGAGTCACAATGCAGGGATACGACATTTCTTTGCCATATAACGTATGTTCTTTTTTCCTAAAAACATACCATGTACAGTGATGTTAGAATAACATTGCTAACAGCATCTTAATGTTTTTGTCTCTCAGATGAGCTACACAGCCAGTTCCCCTAGTCTGAGCGATAGAACCCAGTTCCCAAACTTTTTCCGAACAATGCCCAGTGATATTTACCAAGCACGAGCCATTGCTCGACTGACAATTCGCTTCAAGTGGACGTGGATCGGAGCCGTTGTGGCGAACAATGATTACGGACTGATGGCTGTGAAGGTAGTCCACTGATTTTACTCTTATCCAATCTGGACAGCTATAAAGGTGCAGATGTTGTGGTTAACTTTGTTCAACCTCTTCTGTGTTACCCAGATATTTCAGGAGGAGACTCAGGGTGCAGGTGTTTGTTTGGCTTTTGTAGAAACTCTCAGCAGACAAAATATTGTTAGTGATGCCAGGCGAGCCGCGCAGGCAATTCAGTCCTCGGCAGCTAAAGTGATTCTGATCTTCACCTGGTACACAGATGTCAGGGAACTGTTTCTGCAGCTGGTTGAGAGAAATGTAAGAAAAATAATAACACTACACTGAACCTCCAAAAATGTTAATATATTGTTTCTATATGTTCATATATTATATCGTGACTATTTACTTGATATTCAAAGCACTGTGCGAAAGTTTGCAGTGGTGCCTGGCCTATGGGGCTTACAGGGTAGTGATGGCCAATCACAATTCTTCAATTTATTAGGGAAATGCCCCTAAACATCAAGAATGAGCAGTTGAATATCAACATTTTCTTTAAATACAGGGGGTCCTCAACTAATCAACATGAAATGTCTCGGGCCAGATTGAACCCCCGAGTAGGCCGGTTTTGACCCATGATCCGTATGTTTGCCACCCATGATCCAGGACATAAAAATATTACGTCTAAAAGTCTTAAAAATGCAAAATCGTCAGAATGATCTAACTTTTTTAAAATAAATAATGGGAGATGCAAATGCCGTAGGTCGAGGACGTTGTGAACTGAGGACTCCCTGTACGTGAAAAAGAAAAGACAACAACAAAGATGGGGTATAGGGGATACAGTAATTGTATAAACTTGTTTTTTTCCAGGTGACCGACAGACAGTTTTTGGCAAGTGAAGCTTGGAGCACCAGCGGTGTTCTTCTCCAAAATCCATCCACATCCAAAGTAGCCAAAGGCGTCCTTGGTGTGGCCATCAGAAGTTCGACTTTACCAGGATTTGAAAAGTATCTCAGGAAGCTCAAGCCCTCTCTCCATCCTCACAATGAGTTCCTGAGAGAATATTGGGAGAACATTTTTCAGTGTCGTGAGACCACTCCTGACAATGACTCTTCCTCTTCTGAGTCACCTCTGCCATTTTGCAGCGGTACAGAGTCGCTAGAGACGGTGAATGACATATTTACAGACATGTCCCAGCTGAGGGTGACCTATAATGTCTACCAGGCTGTTTATGCCGTGGCTCACGCACTGCACAGCCTTCTCTCCTGTCCTGACATAAGCAGCAGTCCTGCAAACAAAAACTTCAACTGTTCTGTCCCAAAACAAATCAAACCTATTGAGGTAAACAGAAACATCAGTAACAGCCTCTTTTTGTACAGGGCTGTCAAACCATTACAATTTTTAATCTGTTTAATTGTGGGGTTGCTGTGGATTAATCATGGTTAATTACCAGTAATCATGATCACAATTAAGCATGAATAATCATGGTTAATCCAGAATAACTGTTATTCCTAAATATGACCAAAACAAATGCGACCAATCAAAATGATGAAATTGTTAACGTGGGAATGTCAAGAAAAATCAATGTCAAAAAAGAAAGTGAAGAAAACTCCAATTATGTAATGTGAACTAGGTGGTGCCATAAAAACATAATGTACTGTTTACTTACTGTGAAATAGGGCTCCATAGAGCCTCTTTTGCAAACATGGACATACTGTAGCCATCATGATGCTAAATGAAATGATATTTAGTTTTTACTGATTAACACAATAAACTGGATTTAACACTCATTAAGCTATTTTTGTCTTTTTTTTTTCAGGTTCTGCAACATTTAAACACAGTAAATTTCACTACAACCCAGGGGGAATTGTTTTATTTTGAAGGTGCTGATGTTCCAGCAAAATATGACTTGGTGAACTGGCAGATGACGCCCGAAGGGGAACTTAAACTTGTTCGAATTGGACTTGTGGATGGATACGACCTAAAACTTGACGAGACTGCAATTCAGTGGCGCACAGGATTTAGACAGGTGATACAAACCCTTCTGGACGGGAATGTTTTCCTGACTCACACATGCTGTCACTCAAAACAGTATTACATAACTGCAAGACATTTTCCAGTAAATGAATTGAAAACACATTTGCTCACATTGTCTGAACCAAAAGTACAATAATCTCCAGAACTGTCTAAAAAAACAAAGAGGCGTTTTGTGTAAAAATCTTAATGTAATTCTAAAGTTTGTATAATGTGTTTTTTAAGGTGCCTATGTCAGTGTGCAGTGAAAGCTGTCCTGCTGGTACAAGGATGGCAACAAGGAAAGGAGAACCCGTCTGCTGCTTTGACTGCATACCGTGTGCAGAAGGAGAGTTTAGCAACAGAACTGGTAAGGTGAAAGGCTCAATACTTTTCATCCTCCTTAAAAACTATTTGCCTGTAAAATTTGTCTAGTCACAAACAGCTCATTGTTAATCCAAATTTTAACAAACATAGTATGTAAAACAAAACTAATTAAAGTGAATATATATAAAATCTCCAAACGATTCCCATAATTCCAAGAGCTAAAAGACTCCGTAATAACATGTATTAGGAAAAAATAAATAAGTAGATTACTCCACTGGTATATTCAGTTACTGAATTTTTGTGTTTTACCAGGTTCCCATTCATGTGAGCCTTGTCGTTATGACTATTGGTCTAATGCTAAAAAAACTGCCTGCCTCCCGCGTCATTTGGACTTCCTCTCCTATAATGAGACCTTGGGCATCACTCTGACCGTAGTCTCTGTTTCTGGGGTCACAGTAACTACAGCTGTGTTTGTGGTTTTCCTCCACTACCGACAAACACCAATGGTAAGGTTTTGCTCAAGTATAAGAATGTGATATTACATAGACAGCCATTGTTGCCAACAAATTAGGAGAAGCATTGGCCTTGGAGTTAAATAAATGTCTTGAATATGGCATCTTTTTATTTTTACTGTTTATTGCTTGGTCAAATGACTCCACTCTTGGATATGGCATCTTTTTATTTTTACTGTTTATTGCTTGGTCAAATGATACCAAAATGGCCTACATTTCTGTATGTAAGTTAATTTCCCATCCAGAAATATTTGTTATAGACTGTTCTAAAAGATCAAGTCTTCAGAAATTGGGTCACTAGGGTGCCTCAGAAAATTGGAGGTAAGATATGAAAAAGAAATGCTAAAAAAAACAATCATTTTTATTTTATAACCATTTGTCCTGAACTGTACAACACAAGAAGTGCTGTAATTATCGGATTCTCAAGTTTCCAATAGTACCTTAATGCACCTTGTGTGACAGCTGCAACTTGACGGCACGACGTCATAATCAGTGTTGACCAGGTGGTCTGCACCTGTTACCAGGCCACTGTGCTGCTCATTGAAAATGGACAGGTTTTAAACATGAAATAGACCATAGAAGGAGCAAACAGTTTATTATTCAATAATAACTAATGTTTGTTAGTCATTTACTTATGCTAAACATATGTAACAATTATTGAACAGTGAATAAATGTAGAAAATACATTCTTAAAGTGGATCTTTCTTCACATATTTTGTAGCATTGTCTGTAGGTTTGCCTCTGGCCAGAAGCTAATGCTGTTTGGCATATAAATGTTTGGGAACCCCTGGTTTAGCCTACTGTAGAATATTAACACTGCAAATCTGTTATACAGTATGAAGTGTGACTCCAACCTAATTTGCTTGCTAACTACCATATTGTATTGCAGTTGTTTCCAACCCAGTGTGATAGCAACTGCTGTGTAAATGTTTCCTGACCAACTACAAACTCATATCCTAAACTACAGGTGCGAGCCAACAATTCAGAGCTGAGCTTCCTGCTTCTAGTGTCCCTGAAGCTTTGTTTCCTCTGCTCTCTGGTCTTTATCGGCCGTCCGTCGGCCTGGTCTTGTCGATTCCAGCAGGCTGCCTTTGGAATTAGCTTTGTCCTTAGTGTTTCCTGTCTCAAGGTCAAAACAATAGTTGTTCTGGCAGCGTTTCGGTCAGCGCATCCTGGTGCTGAAGCATTGATGAGGTGGTTTGGTCCGGGGCAACAGAGGGGCAGTATCTGCCTGTTTACAAGTATACAGGTTAGTTTTTCTTCTGTACTTAAACAAATGATTAATCTTGGTAGTCATAAACCAAATTACACAATGTAAAATATAGTATATTTTAGACACGTTACAGTTTTTCTCTTGTTAAGATTTACCTCACACTTGACAAGACATACCAACGCAATGTGTGATTTTTTTCTGATTGTATCAGTATTGTTGCTTATGTATTCAATCGGCAAAAATCACAAAATGTCTAAATGTACGTATGTAGTTATAAGCATATAATTTAGAAAGTCATTTAAGATGTGTTTATATAACCTTATGTACTCTAATTTTGTAATATATTTTTTTTTACTTTTTTAGATTGTCATCTGTATCATTTGGCTGACAGTCAGTCCCCCTGTACCCAAACCTGATTTTGAATTACCAGGGTTAAAAGTCACGCTGCGGTGTGCCATGGCCTCTGCAGTTGGATTTTCTTTGGTTCTGGGCTACATTGGACTCCTAGCCTGCTCCTGCCTCATCTTGGCCTTTCTCGCTCGAAAACTCCCTGACAACTTCAATGAGGCCAAGCTAATAACCTTCAGCATGCTGATATTCTGCGCCGTCTGGGTGGCTTTCATCCCTGCCTACGTTAGTTCACCTGGAAAATATGCAGTAGCCGTGGAAATTTTTGCAATTCTGGCCTCTAGCTATGGTTTGCTTCTCTGTATCTTTGCTCCAAAGTGCTTTATTATTCTCCTGAGGCCAGAAAATAATACCAAAAAACACATGATGGCAAGGTAGCAATAGTTTTTATTTTACTTTTTTTTTTTTTTAAGATTTTATATAATTTTACAGTTGTTTCATTTTTATTGCTTTGCTTGGCTGCATACTTAACTAGATAACCAACCCAATAAGACTTGTTTTAAACATCCACTTGCACCTGCAAAGCTCTGTATCATCTCCCTTCCTCCCTGCTGTAATCAGTGTGATCACACTCACCTGTGTCCTGTGATCACCTGTTCATTTGTCTCACTTGTGTCACCTGGTGCCCTGGGTATATATACCTCACTCCCTCGCTCAGTCTTTGTCAGGTTGTTGTTCTGTGTAGATGCTTTGTGGGGTGTGTAGTTGCACCTACCATATGTTCAATGTTCTTGCTCTTAGTTTATGCTTTGTTCCTGCCTGGTTCTGTATTCAGTGACTTGCTGTCATTTTGACTATTTTTCTGCCCTGATCTACATCTCTCTAGTGGTGCATTTGGGTTCTTGTATATCAGGCATTTGACAATGCATTCAAAAGAGGACATGTAATCTAAAGTCAATGATTGCTTTTTTCAAAATATATTTGTATTTTATTGTTCACACCACTACCTGACCACATGTTGAGTTTGCAACCCCCAGTTTGTTTTTGGTTGATTGCAATTACTGTCAATATAATTAAAGATAAACTTTCTATAATTGCCTTATCTTTTCACGTGTGTGAAAAATATTTGTAAGCACCAAGCATATGGGCTAGTGATGTGTCGTTCGCGAGTGATTCATTCAAAATGAATGTTCTTATCATGTCAAAGAACAAATACATATACAAACATACATTTGATTTGTTGAATCATATATAATTCATGTACTCTACTTTCAAGAACAGTAATTTTCCACGATGCTGAGGCTAATATAGTGATTAAATTCAACTGATTAGCGTCGTTGACCCATTATGGCTTTCTTTGTGTTTCTCTCTGGTCTCAATAGGATAATATAACATTTAGGTCCAAACAGTGCCACCAATAGGCCAAAACTAGAGGCCAGAATAGCAAACACCTCTACTGCATCTGCATATTTGCCTGGTGAGCTGATATAGGCGGGAACAAAGGCCACCCACACTGCACAGAAGATTAGCATGCTGAAAGTAATGAGTTTAGCTTCATTAAAACTGTCTGGAAGATTTCGTGCCAAAAACGCTAATACAAAACTGAGGACTGCTAGTAAACTAATGTAACCAAGCAAGATTCCAAAACCTATAGTTGAACCAATGACACATTCATAGACTATCCTATCACTGTAATACTGGGTGTTTTTATGTGGTGCAGGTGAAGCCAAGACAAGCCAGACAGTGCAGATTACAGCTTGAAAACATGTCAGAACAAGAACTGTTCCTCTTTGCTGAACGGCACCAAACCACTTTAAACTGGCCTCAGCTCCTGGTTTGGAGGCCTTGAAGACAGCAAGGACGACCATTGTTTTCACAAGAATACATGAGACACACAGCACAAA